CCAAAATCCTCTAACTAATGCAGATAGGGAAGTAGGGTCGAATCCACAGGGAATCTGGTCTTTCTATTTCTAATTAATTAAAGCAATCTAAATTGTTAAGTAACCAATTTGTTGTCAAAAAGTGGAACTATACTAGTAGGAGTAAAAGTGGGAAGGAATAAAAGTAGGAAGATAATCAAGGGATAAAAGACCTAGGGCATATGTTCACCAATAAATAAAATTCCAAGGTAACACATAATAATCAACCATCAATGCATAAATTAATCAGATCATAAAGGGCTTTCGCTACGTATTACAATCACATAGTTAATCTACCGGTATTAAATCTCATCTCTCGAATCTCGACTTAACCATTTATAAATTAACCTGCCTATTGAAACTAGACCTAAACATCAATTCTCATCTCTTGAATCTCGAATCAATATTGTCAAACTCATGCATAAATGATCAGGCCTAATCTAGTCACAGAGCATTATATCAATCAATAGGAAATTAATCTAGCATTGACAATCAACAACAATAAATTACCCCTTCATATTATTTATGGATCCCCATAAACCCTAGAAAGAAAACTACTCAGAAATAATTAAATATAAACTAAACAAAGCAATTAAAGGAGAAATGATGAAAGAAATAAAGTAAATAACGGAGATTAATGTAGAAGAAATCATTACCAAAGTAATCAGAATTAAGGAGTTTAATTAAGAACAAAGTAGAGAACAAAGTTGTAGAGAGAGAAAATAATCTAAAACTAAGTAGAGAGAGAAAGTCTCATAAAATAGGTCCTAATCAAAAGAATTAAAATCGTATTTTTACCCAAAAATAATTACTCCTAATTAAAACTAAGATAAATCGCCGAAATCAACTCTTAAAAACCTCGTGCCCGATCGGGCCCGCCTTTTCCAATATGAGCATCTCTCACGCCCGGTCGGGCGCGAACTAATCTTCCTTGCCCAGCCGGGCGCGCCTTCGGGCGGTGCCTATTTTGGCCGAGCCCGGACACTTGGGCAAGTTTAGACTTCGATTGGGCTTCAATTCTTCGGCCCAATCCAGATTTCCTCTCTGGGTCTTGAGTACTCGGTCCAAATGCCTCGGAATCTCAAATGCTAAGCCCTTAATCACCGGTTTGATGACTCTAACCGGCCCTGGTCTATGAAAACTGGTCGTGCTCCTCCAATGCTCGTAGTCACTTCATAATATCCCGGGAAAATGCTTTAAAAGTGCAAATCCGTACAAAAGTCAACCAAATTTACGGAATCACTAGAAAACACCAATTAGTTATAAAAGTGGCTCTAAAGAGCCAAAAACACTACCAATTATGACCAAGGGACGGGGGTAAAATACTATATAAAAAGGACATATCAAAGTACGACAAAGTACGCTAAATCAATGAAATATTAATTGCTTAGGCACGCAAGCCCAACACGATGGAATTGCACGTGGGCCTAGGCCATGCACAAACCAACCTTTTCTTAACTTCGTCCTGACATGGCACAAAACTCGTGAGCTGAGAAATGGGTCGGGGTTAACTAACCCCAAAGCACGTGGCTCGGCACGACCTAGAACCATCTTTACCAAATATCACCTTATAATTAACATAGCTCTTCCTCCAAGCATTCCTTACCAAGAATCTTTTTATTTTCTTTTATTATATTATCCCATCTGTGTTTTATGAAAGATATTGATTTCCTTCACTAAAATTTAACCTTTTATGTTTCTTTATTTTTTTTATTTAATTTTATACGTTTTAATAATCTCTTTTAAAAAAATCCGTTACTGTCCCAGGTGACCGATTTTCCACGTCAACCGACGTCCAAAATTGGTTACCGACCCAGGTGACTGATATTACACGTCGATTGACCTTGGTCAACCGTCTTCTAGAATCGGTTACTGTGACGGTTGATCTTTTTTGTGCGCCGGTTGATCGTCGTCACACTATAAATTAAACCCACGTTAAACCCGTAAAAAATAAACCTTGCCTATTGAAAGTCGACGACGACTTTTGTAATTCGTTTTTCGATGAGCTACCTTGATCACCATCCATTTCTCGTCAACTTTCGCATTCGTGGTGGCAATCCTGTGTAGATGGTGGTGGTTGACGCAGTGGTTGTGGGTTGTGATGGCGAGTCGTATCGGTGTCGTAATTGTTGGTAGTTGACTTGGTTGTTTTTGAAGTGGTGGATGGACTAAAGTTAGAGAAAGAAAATGGAAAAAAAAAATACAAGTGCAAGAATTTTCCCATTGCTTGAAATGTTGGCAGTGTGATAAATTTTGCTGGCGGTATTTAACAATCCACAAAATTAACTTTTTTATTATAAAATAATTGAAGATATAAATGGTATATGATGCTTTGGCTAACGTAAAACTCCAAGAGTTACCATTAAAAAACTAAAAAAGAATGGATGAGGTGTAACAAATCCTACTTCATATACTCCCTCCGTATTTTAATAAGTGTTAAAATTTGACCAAACACGCATGTCGAGCCACAACTTTGACCACTAATTTATCTAAGGGATTTTGTCTTTGGTAACACTTTAGTTTTTAATTTTCTCAGTGGTAAACTGTAAAAATTCTTATTATCCCTGGTAAACTTTAATTAGTTATAATTTTTCAATGGTAAACTTAATGAAACAATTTAGTTAATTCTTAACCATGGTTAATATTCTTTTAAATAAAAAAAAATAAAATTCCTAAAATACCCTCACTTAATACACTTAAATTCCTAAAATGCCCTCAATTATTAAGATCATCATCTTCCTCCTCACCTTTCTCAATCGCTACCTTTCCTCCACCCCCACCCACGCCCACGCCCACGCCCAGCCCTCTCCCTCGCCGGTGAGTCGGCCTCCCCCACCCCTTTTCGAGCACTCTCCTTCCCCCTGAACCTCCACTCAGCCCCGAAACCATCTCCCTAAGCCTCGAAACAAAATAATCCCTCCAAAGCTCTAATTTATTCGAGAATTTTGAATGATTCGCTTGTTAATTTCTGTAATTCCTCCTTGAAATTGTGATAATTTCCTTTATGTTGAGCTAAAGGTCTCGAGCAAGTGAGTTCTTGAATCTGACGAATGAACCACACCAAAAAATCACCCTAAGAACAAATGAAAAACCCAGAAATCACTTTTGGATGAGGATGTCGGCGACAAAGGACAAACGACGAGGGAGGGGGAAGGGCTAGGACGACCGGCGAGGGTAGAGGAAGGGGTTGCCGGAGTAAGGGCTTGGTCATGACGGGGAGGGGCTATTCATGATGTGGTTGAAGGCTTTTGGAGGGAAAGCTAGAATTGAGAAGGTGGTGGTTCAGGGGATGCGGGAAAGGTGCGGCAGGGGCGGAGGACGCAGACGCGCCGTCGAAGGGGGTGGCTGGGCGCCGGTATGGGTTGGGGCAGAGGAGTGGTCGTGAACTGTAATGTTGGTGGGGGAATTGAAGTGGGTGATTTTTTTTTATTGAAAAAATTATTTTTAAAATCATATATGTATATATATACTCCCTCCGTTTCTTATTTCTTGCAACAAAGGGAGGGTGCATGGTTCCCAAGTCAAAAGCTTTTAAGCATAATTATTATAAAGTAAGGGCATGTAAATAATGTAATTAATGAGAGAGGGTGAATAATTAATTAAACAACTAAAAGTCCAGCACCACCACCGATGGACGCGGACGCCACCCAGAACCACCAGCAACGAAAAGCTACCACCTAGAACCACCAACAAAACCACCCAAAAACACCCAGACTCACCCGAAACCACCAAGAACCACCTGAAATCGCCCAACGAAACAACTTCAACCCGAAACCACCCACAACCACCACCCAAACCCACAACACCAAAACCCCTCTTCCACCCCTGCGAAACCACCGACACCACCAGATCTTGACCCACCGACACCACCAACACTACCGAAAACGACCATTTGCAAGACCCACAAAACCACCAAAACTACTCTTCCACCCTTGAGAAACCACCGACACCACCAACAATACTAGAGCTAGACCCACGGACACCACCAACACCACCGAAAACGACTAGTTCAAGACCCACGCCACCAACCCCACGACCCTCCTCCACCCCTGCGAAACCACAAACCACAAAAACCACCTTTACCACCGAACGAAGCCACCAATTAACCAGATTTGAAACCACAAAAACCTGCCGACAACCCACCAGAACCACCCACGACACCACCAAAAGCACCGACGAACCACCAAACTCACCAATAACTAAATTTGAAACCCACTAAAAGGGTAGTTTGGAATTTTATTATGAGAGATGAAAATGATGAAATGATAGATGAAGGAGGAGAGAGAAAGATAATGGGTTTGATTAATTGGGTGTGATTTCATAGATAATTAATTTACTATAGATTAAGGTTATAATGGGTTGTAATTATGTGTACTATTATGTGTTAAAATATTTTAAGTATGGGTATATTGGTCATTTTGACAGAAAAAAGTTTCCAAATAAGGAAAAAAAACATTTGTTGCAAGAAATGTGAACCACCCCAAAATGGTAAATGTCGCAAGAAATAAGAAACGGAGGGAGTATATATATATATATATATATATATATATATATATATATATATATATATATATATATATATATATATATATATATATATAAACATATATTTAGTCTATCTACTTTTATGCATAAAACAAAAGCTCTCTTTCCCGCTTCTCTATGGATGTCTGTAATTATGTTACGGGTTTCAAGCTCCGCCTTGCTTGGGCAGTTCAAAGCTGAGATGGTCACACTCGAGTCAGATTTAATTACAACATTTGGAATGTCCGGTGGGATTTTTTTTCAACGCGGTAAGAACAGCTAAGGCCTCTGCCTGATTTGCTGATGAAGCGAACACTCTAACTGCTCCTTGGATGTGCTGTTGATCCATCATCTCTGAAGCCCAGGCTACTGCAGCCTCCCACTGCGTGTCGTCTTTTTTTTTTTCTTCTTTTTCACGCCGCATCAACACACACCGAGGAAAATTGGTTCCCTAAGATTTACCCTAGTCTCCATAGAAGCATAGGACGAGATTTGTCGGACTCTATCTGTCTTTCCCCGATATGGATTGATACTAAATCCGTGGCCTTTAGCCACCTTGCAACATATATATGTACTGCCGTCATGACTGATGTAGGGTCAGTACTCATGTATCTAAAAACGATATCATTTCTATGACTCCAAATAGCCCATAAAACTGCTACAAACATGGTAAGTCTAACTGAATTTTTTTCTAGGTCCTGCAAGCAATAGCTAACAAAATTAGTTACCCATTCCCTGCAAGAAAGAAAAGTAGGATTAGTCGAGATAATTCCCAGTTGGGAGGCCTTCCAAACTCGCTTGGAGATTTCACACAGTCTGAACAGGTGGTTCATACTCTCCTTCTCGGATTTGCAAAGAGGGCAGACAGTGGAGGTTTCCACTTTCCTTTTTTCCAGATTATCCATGGTGGGAACTATATTCTGGGCTATTTTCCAAATAAAGTGCTTCCATTTAGGGGGCAGATTGCATTTTCATAATTTTTTCCAGAAATTTGGCTTATTTGGTAGCCAAATCTTTGGAGCTTGTCTGTGGACCATAGTCCAGTATCCTGATTTGAAAGAGAATTCTCCATTTTTCTCTAGGGTCCACGTGAGTGAGTCTGTTTGGCTCTCCTCTGGAATATAGGTTGCTAGAATTCCCCTGGCCACGTCATCTTCAAAAGCCCGCCATACCAGTCCTGCATTCCACCTCCTCTTCGAGGTCATCAAATCCGACACCTTTGTGATCCCTTGCATTTCCTCAGGGTGTCTAAATTGGATTTTCCTATTGTTGACCCAGATATCCTGGACTATACTGACTGAGTCCCCGCTTCCTATTCTTCTACCAATATGGTGTTTGAAGGAAGAAGCAGCTTTTACCAAGCTTTTTGCTGCCCAAGAACCTACTATAATTTTTTTTCCCGTGATCCCTAAGGTGATTGGATCATTACCATATTTAGCTTTGAAGATTTTACTGGCTAAAAGAGATGGATTGCAATAAAACCTCCAGCTTTGTTTCATGAGCAGACTTTGATTTATGGATGCAACATCCTTTAGGCCTAATCCCCCTTCAGATTTGTGCATAAAGAGCACTTCCTTTTTTCTCCAGCATATGCCTTTGTAGGTAGTATTAGAACACCACCAAAACTTGTTGATTAGGGAATTGATTTTGGATGTAATACGACGGGGACACCAGTAGAGAGACAGGATATGGTGTGCAAACGCTACTAGAATTCCATTAATAAATACAAGTTTCCCTGGTTGATTCAGAGAAACAAACTTCCAAGAGGGAATTTTCTTTTGGATTCTCTCTACGAGGCAATTAAATTTAGAGCTTGTCCTGCCATCAACATCCATTGGACAACCAAGGTAGATCCCTGACTCCTTGCAGCTCTTAACTCGAATAGGTTGCCTCATTAGTCGAACAAACCGAGCTGGCGTATTGGGGCTAAAGAGGATTGCCGATTTGTTTTCATTAATAACCTCCCCTGATAGAAGACAGAATTGATCCAAAACATTTTTTACACACCTACAAGAAGTTGGCGTTGCCTTGAAACACAAGAGCGCGTCGTCTGCGAAGAAGAGGTGATTAATTGGGGGGAACTTCTAGCTACCTTGATACCCTGTATCACCTTCGAGTCTTGGAGCGCGCATAATTTCCTTGAAAGGACCTCTATTACCAAAATGAATAGGTAAGGTGATAGCGGATCACCTTGGCGGAGTCCGGCTCTTGGTGTGAAGAAACTTGTTGGTTCACCATTCACCAGAACTGCATAAGAAACTGTTGAGATGCATTGTAAAATCCAGCGTATCCAAGCCCCCGGGAACTTCATTTTCTCCAGAATGGTTTTTATCAAATCCCAGCTAACTCGGTCACAGGCCTTACTTAAGTTGATCTTTAGAATGCCTTCAAAGCGGCCTCCTTTCTTTCTTCTTTTTACTGCAGAGAGAATCTCGTGGGCTATGTAACAATTATCGATCATAAGCCGTCCTGGGATAAAGGCATTTTTAAGATCTCCTATTAAGTCAGGGAGGATGTGCTTAAGTCTGTTAATCAAACATTTGGAAATGATTTTATAGAGGGAATTACAAAGACTGATGGGACGAAATTCCTCGACTTTTTTTGGTTGGTTGACTTTTGGGATGAGGGTTATATAGGTGCGATTTGTTTCTTTGAGCATGTAACCCGTTTTGAAAAAATGTTGGACTCCCCTGATCACATCCTCCTGGATAGTAGCCCAATTTTGTTGAAAGAACATTGGTGGGCTTCCATCTGGGCCCGGGGATTTGAGTGGATGTGGGTCGAAGGCTGCTTTCTTGATTTCTTCCCTTGAGAACGGCTTTGAAAGCCAATCCAGGTGGGCTTGGGAAAGAGTTGGGAGATTCCCGGCCCATTCCTCCCTCAGTTTTCTTGCTTCCTCGGACTAGGCTTGCTGGTCCATAGGCCCATCAAAGAGAGATTTGAAGTATGTTAGAAATTGGGCTTTTATCTCTTGGCTACTATTGATCCAATTGCGATGTTCGTCTTGGATCACCCTTATTTCAGCTCTTAGATATCTTTGTTTCACACTTTTGAAGAAAAAGGACGTAGGTTGATCTCCCAGCGAGTCCCATTTCGATTTTGCTCGTTGCCTCCAGTACCACCACCTAAGAGAGGCTATATCCTCGAGCTGTTTCCTGTTAGTAATTTCCTCACCTTGGTCTAAGGCCGTTATTAAGGACTCTTCTTGTTGTTGCTCCTCCAATTTCGATTTTAACTCCTACCAGTTAAGGCCCATGAAGGCTCCTTTCTTGCTAATACACCAATCTCTAATGCCATTGAGAAAGTGTTTCAACTTCCTTTGGGTTTTATAGAGCGGTGATCCGTAAACTTGCATTCTCCAGGTGGAATCAACCAAGTCTTGTATCTCCTTCAATTTAAGGCTCCACGCTTCCATCTTATATGGAGTTTTCCTTGGGGCAGCTTTAGGTTGCACTTCCAATATAATGGGCGCATGATCTGAGAAAACTATCGGAAAATTCCAGATTATGGCATTTGGGAAAGACAATTTCCACATGTTATTTGCGTAGGCCCTATCCAATTGTTCATAAATGGGATCATCCACTCTATTGTTACACCATGTGAATTTTAGACCAATAGATTGGAGTTGAATTAGTTCATGCTCTAGTTTCCATGGAAAAAAATATGATAGACCATTCACTAACTCACGTCCTCCTAGCTTTTGGTCTGTTGATTCGAGTTGGTTAAAGTCTCCAATGAGGATGTAGCTTCCTTTATGAGATTGCATGAGATTGCCTATCATGGTCCACACCTCTTCTCGGCTTTAGATATAGGGGCTACCATACACACAAGCGAGGTAATACGAAGCACCATCAACTAGAGTTATATTACACAGGATAATATTCGGACTTACTACAATGACATCTACTACCACTCTATCCAGCCAATAGAGGAACAAACCTCCTTTGTTGGCTATTGCATCATACCTAGTACTATTCTTAAAGCCTTTCCTACTGAAAAACGGAACTAAAGACTTGACACTACACTTAGTTTCACTAAGAAAGATAAAATCAACATTGAACCTAGCCGCTAAGATCATAACTAAGGGGAAAATCGGGGAGCTATGATCGCTCGCTCCCCTACAGTTCCAACTGATGCAACTCATTTTCCATTCAAAGGTTGTGGGCAAGCCGCGCCGTCAATCGTTGGCTTCTTAGGTCCTGTATTGCTGACCTCATCATCAGAATCAATGGTATCCTCTCGAACCACTACTCTTAGAACTTGAATCCTTGTTGGTAGATTAGCAGCACCTTCCAGATCCTCCATCTTTTCCCATAAATCATCCTCCCTACTCACCCCAAACTTACACCTCTTTCCATTCCCTTGACTTCTGCATTCATTCATCTCCTCCCCTGGTCTCCCCTGCTTCTGCTTAGAGCTGAATGAACCCTTGAGTTTCCAAGCGAGGCAGAGTGATTTGTCTTCTGGGATGTCCTTAGCCACTTCGGATCTCCATTGCTTCTTTCTCGGACCCTCTTCTGAGAATCTTCTACCCCTCCGTTTGTATAGTATCTTGCCCTGTTCATGCGAGTAGAAATCCAGTTCAAAGTCCGACGATTCCTGGCTGGAGGTAAGTTCGATCCTTCCGAGGTTCAGGAGAGGCTCCATGGAGTCTGAAGAGATGGAGGATGGGGTAGTGTTGAAAGATTCCACAGAGATTGGGGAGTTTGGAGGGCTTACATCTCCCTTCACCAGTGGGAGGGAGAATTTTGAAGAACTAGAAGAAGCCGGCTGCATGGGTCCTTTCAGTTTAGGCCAGTTGTGAGTCGGGTTTTCAGAAGGGGAATTTGCACAGAATAGCTTATGAGTAAAGTTGGATTCTGCTATCAGAGAGTTGAGTGAAGTGTAGCCATGCGATACTTGTGAAGCATGGAAGGCTGCAATCTCTTCTTTGTTCGCCATAAAGAGGGGGAATGCGAACTCGAGTTCTCTAATGAGGGGGTCAGTAAGGATATTCTTTGGTCTAAAGGGGTCAAGGAGAGGGTTGAGAGTATACACTCTATCAGTGGGTAGAAGGGAAACTTTATAGTCCTTATCAATTTCCATTTTTGAAGTAGACATAGTGAAGGGGGAGTTGACAGTTGGTTGTTTGGTTGAAAAAGGTAGTATGCTATTAAAGAAAGATATGGTGGGGTTATTGGGCGAAAAAAGTGGGGGATAAACTTCATGTTGCAGGGAATAAAAGGGAAGTTCAAATGAGTTCCACTTTGAGTAGTCATCAATGCAGGTGGGTGGGATGGTATGAAGGGAGAAGTAATTAGAGCAAGGAAATGAAGGGTTAGGATAATTACTTTCTGAAATAAATTTCCCCCCAGAGGAGTGAGTAGAGTGCCAGTTTGGAGCCATTTTGTGTCTCAAGGCAAAGGAGTTAAGGAGTTGGCAGACTTTCCATGGTTATTAGGCTAAGTCAAACTTGCATACAAGTCAAGCTTGGGGGGGTGGACTGATTCACTAATAAATAGGAAGTTGGAACAGTAGAAGGTGGTTGAGTACCTGGGCTTGACTGAGAACGGTGTAGCACGGGATGCGAGGAGTTGTGCTCCTCCATTGCTACGCCATTATTTCCCAATTTCCGGTTGTCATGTACAGATTCCGGGGATGACCAACCCGTGCATAATTTTCTCTTTTTCCACTCAATTGAACTGGAATGAGTAGCTGAACCAGATCGAGTACACCAATTTGTAGCATATTTCCTCTTTTGTTCTGTACGGATGGGAGGCTTCATGATATCTCTCCATATCAAAATTCTTCCCCCTTTTGATTGGAGTGAAGAAATAATAATAGGACTCGGATCATCTAAACCTCGCCTAGCTCGGATTGAGAAATTTTGTAAAAGCAGATGCTTGTGTCTCTTATCTTCATCACATGGGTGACGAACCTGTATCCCTGGTTTTTGCTTCTTGTTTGAATCATTCTCACCACGAACATCCTCATTGTCATTTGGACGGGCAACCTCTTATCTCTTCCTTACTCTATTGCTAGGCCCTGGGTTTCCAGAGCTTGGCGGGCCATCAGAGGACGAGGACGATGAGCCTTGATGCGTCCTACTCTGTTGACTATTTGAGCTGTCATTCCCTGGGGAGTTCTGGAACGGTGTGTGTTCAGAAGAGGCTGATGTCGGGGTTGGATGAGGGTACACCCTTAGATTAACCCTCGCTGTTCTGAAACTCTCTATATCAGGCAATGCCATAATTTTTTTTGAATAAAGAGGGGTTTATGATCTGGCTATGAGCAAGTCATAATTCAGCCCACACAGACCTCTTATCCTATAGCTAACTTCTCTATGAGCTAAGTGAGTTGGAATCCTACAATGAGGCTGTTTATGGCCAATTCTACCACATCCATGACAGAGTAAAAAAATTCCTTCATATCTTAAAAAGATCCAGATAGCTTTCTCAGGGGTCATCTCATAGTAGAAGCCTGACACAAGTGGTTTTTGAATATTGACCACTACTTTTGCTCTCATTAGACAATGAGGCCTATCATCAAGTGAGGGTTGGTCAAACCTTATGATCCTACCTACCCTCTCAAGTATTCTCCTTGCAACATGGGGCTGGCATTCCTCTGCAGGTAGTCCTTCCACTCTAACCTAGATTGCTATTTATGAGAAATCCAAGTCCAGAATACTCATGCCCATTTGCCATGCCTTGAAAGCAATCATTGCTCCTTTGTAGGGAGCTGCTCCAATGGACATCAGATTGTCTCGGTCATCCCAAGATGTGCAAAAGAAAAAGAAGAGGTCCTTGGCATGACTGGCCTTTTGAACAATTATAGCTGAATTCGTTTTCCAAAACATATCAACCCAGTTTGGATTTGAATTTCTGAGAACACTCGATCATCTATCACCTTCCCTACAACTGCAAGACTATATTTGTCTACATCTTCTGGGTAGTCGTGGGGTTGTTTTGGAATTCCAATTCCCATTCTGCTAGGAACTGATTGAGTGCACTGATGTTTCATGGTTGGGAATACGCTCAGATTGAAAAGAAGAGAGTTGAAAAAGAAAAACAATGACTGTTTAAACAGTTACTCTAGTGTTTTCCTAGAGAAAAAAGCACTCTCTAAGTTCTAGAGAGAGAAGTTTGTTTACATGAAATTATATATATATATATAATTTATCATTTATGCTATAGTTGGCTTAATATAAAAGTTCAAGTTTACCAAGGATAATAAAAATTTTATAGTTTACCACTGAGAAAAATTAAAAACTATAGTGTTATCAAAGAGAATTTCCCTTTATCTAATTATATGTTAGTAAAATCATAGGAATTTTGATAATATGAAAGTATACCTTATAAGTTATAACGAATCCAGCCATATCGTATACAATAACATTTGCTTTTTATATGTTAGTAAAATAATCTGGTCAAAATCATTATGTAAATAGTAAAAAAGTCAAATTGTAACACTTATTAAAACATAGAGGGAGTATGAAATTCACTTCAATTAAAAATGAGTCATTAATTAGGTAATAATCATGTTTCTGGTTTGAAATGTTGGACTTTGCTTGTGTACATAGGACATACCTTATTTAAAACCAAAACTTCATATCAATGTGAGGAGGCATTAATGTGACTTAAATGTTACGAAGTATAACACTAGAACTGTTTAGGATTTAAAAATGGACTAGTTTAGGTCCCGTAAAATGCATAAATAGCTCTAAATATAACTAATGTTTTCAATCTTAATTAGTTCAATGACTATTACAATTAAACATGCTTCATATTAATTTGCTCGTGAATCTGTATCTGAAGCAAGAAATTTTCCACTTGCGTGATACAAATTACCACGTTCAAGTTGTGACGAGTAATACGAATGACCAAGATTACAATAGAACACTGCAAATATACATATGTACTATCAACACGATAGATGGAAGATACTAGATTTACACGTAAACCCTGTATAAACAAATAGTGAGCAAAGGGGTTTTATGTGTCATCAGATTTTGCTAATTTATCATCTACATTGGCTGGAGGATCAATTTTCCCCACGCTGTCGTTCTGAGCTGGATTATGCATTTCAATGGTGTCCTTTATTTTCTGGAACTGCAAAATAGGTGAAGAGAGGGAAGTAGATAATTCATTTACAAACTGGAAACACATACAATGTGAGCACGTTATACTACAAAAGAATCAACTGAAGATGAGTTACTCTTACAAATCAAGAACCATTTAATTTTCTACGAAATGAAAAACCATTTAAGTTGCTGTTACACACTGTCATATATAAGTTACGCAACAAAAAAACAAGACAAGTGAAACCAAGAAACATCATCTTGGTAGTTAATAATCCTTATCAAGACAGCCAGGTACACCAACAAATCCTAGGTCTTGTGTCACCAACCATAGCTAAATCCCCTGAATTCGCATGCCCTACCAAATAAACCTTCTCTTTTTTGACACATACCAAATAAACCTTCTCAAAACCCTGAACTAGGTTAGGTTGTTTCTGTTGGGAAAAAAAATTATTCAAAAAAAAAAAAAAAAAAAAAAAAAAAAACCCAAATCTAATTTATAAAATCAAATTCTATATAATAATGCTGCCTAAACTATTTGTATCAAGACATTGGAGGCGAAGAAATAGTAAGCTGTTTTAAAGACTAGGTTGTCACATGCTAACGATTTCCCTGATGCCCTGGCACAGCAAGTTCCATATGAGGCAACATCCCTATGCCTGTGTGCCTTACTGATTTGGTGCAGATTAGTGTCATTCCAACAGTAGTCAGCCCTCTCTCTCTGGTGCTAAGATAGCAGGATTTGGAGGGTAGAGGAAGGGAAGGAAGTTGGTGAATAATAATAGGGTTGAGCTAAGAGAGGGAAAACACACCATGGATACACCAATACCTTAAGCATTCACGTAAGTGACTATGTCATCACCAGTTATGTATCATAAGGATCTTTGGCTTTATCATCCTAACTGAATCCACCCAATTAAATCAAAAATGCTAGAGCCCATTATTTTCGCAATAATGCTGCAAAAACAGGCTTGCAGCAGGAGCATTTCTCTGCAAATGTACTGACATTTTGTGCTTCTAATATTAACTCGTCTACAGCTAGGATTGGGGTAATTATGTCCTCTACCAATTAATCAGCTTGAATAAATACCCCCACAGCTTCAAATTTTCTGTGCTAAGTCACAAAAATGCTTGCCTCTTCGTATTCATTAGCAAATGTAGGTGTTACAGCAATTTTACTAATCACTCATCCTAAGCTTCATTTAACAATATTTTTTTGGGCTGCTGGAGTGCAAACAACTGTGCTAGAATTAAATACATACAAAGAGTTAATAAAAAGACTTGAAAAAAAAAATTATACTTCCACCATCCCAAATTAGTTAAACACGTATTCCTTTATGGGAAGCTTCTTATTAGTTGACACATTTTCATTTTGGGCACGTCTTGTGTAGTTCAATGACAGCATTATCCCCACTCTTCTTCTCTCTCCTTCCCCATAGTAGCCATATCAGACCCAATCTTTCTCCTCTCTTTCCTCTCTTCTCAATAGAAAACCACTCATTCTCCTCTTTACAGGTGCGGAGGTGCCACCATGGCCACCACCGTCCCATCCCATATTCTGTCTCCTTAGTCGCCTCTGGACTTCGCTCGTCACTCGGCCCCTTGTCACCGACTTATCTTGCCACCTCTATTCTCACATTAACTGCATCCTCTTTTTCTTAAGCAAAACCATTTCTAGGGTTTAGCTCTCGGTTTCACCCTGTTTTTTCTGTTTAACAATTGTAAAATCCCAAAAAAAATTGAAGATAATAAAAATTTGGAACTTAAATCATCAAAAATGGTGACTTTGCATCAGTGGTGGCTTGCAATTTGGTGGTTATGGAGACCAAATGGAAGAAGAAGCTTAAGAAGGTGGTGTGAAGTGTGCTTTAAGGTGGTAAAGGGAGGAAATTCTTAGGGTTAGGGCATTCTTGGATTGAGAGTAATGTTTTAATAGGGTAATAAAGTCAAACTAAACAAAATGAAAGTAAATTTCTGAATCTGATGATAACCCACTTTTTTTTGTTGTTCATGCCAATATTAAGGTGGTTTTAACGGTGGTGGAGTTGAGTAGTAGAGGAAGGTGTAGGTAGTTGTATTGTTGAGGAAATAACAATTGGTGGTTGTGGCTAATGCGTAAGGGTAATCTGTCTTTTTCCTTTACATATCACCCCGCAATTTACGTGCCTACTTCAATTGTGTCAATTTATTTGGGGGTTATTTGGAATGTTGTGCATTCAATACATTGTTGGTGACAACTTTATTATATTAGTAGTGCTTTTGTCGCAAAAAAAATAAAATAAAAAAAATCCTTAAAAACATAAAAGCATCCAAAGTCCCACAGATTAGAAAAGTAAGCACCTAGTGAAAATAGATGATGTCTTTCGAAGGTGCTAATTGAATCAGCATAGGATCTATTAAAATCTATGTATCTTCATGGATTAGTCCAAATTTTAGAACATAGCATCAAAGGAAGAGCTTGAAAGATGGACAGGCACCTCTAGTACATAAGCTTTATGAAAAGATCCATTATCAAATAGAGCTGGGATGAAGTTGTAGAAAAAAAATAGCATTAAACCAAAGACGAATCCTGAGCTACTTTATTGAAACATACATCTAATGCTAGAATCACTTTCTTTACAGCAAGTGGAGTTGTGTGTGGAAAAGGTCTCCATTTTTCTTCCACAGACTAAATAGGACCTAGTTACATAAAAAAAGAAAAAGCAGGCAGAGGGCTTACCTTAGCGAGTGAACAAGAAAACCCTTCCACCTTTCCATCAGCTCCACGATAGAAATGGAAGTAAGGAAGCACCTTCACATTCATACTTTTGCACATTGCCTTATTCTCATCAAAATTAACCTTTATAAACAATATCTCTGGATGTGATTCAGCCATTCTGCACAACTGGAAACACAGTGCAACAAATCAGACCAAACAAACTTTAAAGATCAAAAGTGAATCAGAACCAAAGTCATTAATCACCTAGTCTGGGAAAAGAACTTGCATAACTCTTCATGGTAGACAATTAATTCGAAAATCTCGCTCTCTCTCACCCTCTCTCTCCAAACCCTTCTTTCCATAGGAAAAAATAAAAAATAAAAAAAAATTGCACACGTATTGTGGGAATTCAAAATGAAACCCTAAAAAAAACCTATAACCGAGGGAAGGTTAATTGAGAATTGAGATTTAAGTGTAATCTTGTTTAGAATGAAGTTTTTAAACTCAAATCACTATGTTTGAAGCCGAGCTATTAAATCATTTATCAAGTAGGAATCGGTGCAGTCCAATAAAACTTTAAACTTCAAACATTTATGAAAGAGTAAGGAGACCCAATTTACTCTGTGAGTCACAATAGCAGATGAAATAATAACTGGAAAAGCATAATGGCCTTTCCAAATCACGTGGAAGAGTGAGTCAGACGTGAATGATGCTTCGAAATCATTTCTATGCTGTAGTAACATCTAGTGTGTCTTTGTCATAGAAAATTCTACAATAATACAGACATATTTTAAATTTACATAAGTGATATTTAGAAGAAGGGGGGCTTTGCTTTTACAGAAACCTGGAGCCAAGGTATCTTAAATATCCATATTTCAGAGATCAAAATTTTCTAGTGTATACACAAACAAAATAGTTAGTTCTAATTAAACCATGACTCTCAAGACAATATTTTATGAGCAATATATAAGATCATGGATGTCAACTAAAGAGATCAATGATAAACGCTATGTTAAGATTTCAGAACTTTTCAGAGCTAGTAACTGAGTTCTGATCCTCTGATTCCTCTCATTATTCTTTGTCACTCTTTTGTAATTGTTTCTCTTGAGTGATGTTTTTAACCTAAAAGGGTCCTTAAAGAACAAGATTGTCACCCAAATTCACCATTCTTCAAAACTATGACTCCATGACTCACTTCGTACCATCATCCCATATCCTCCTTTAGTGGTTCCAAACCATATGGAGTTAGTAATCTCATAGATTATGAATGGGGTGTAACCTTCACGGGTTAATCGTTGTTGCCTATCATTGTCCCTTATTAGTGGTTGCCTTAAATGATCCGTGAAAGGTTTACAAGTTCCTTAAAAACTTATTGGCGGCTCCCTATTCCTTGTCGCTAATAGTATAATGTCAATTCCCACTTCCTATGATTGCCAAGAATATTCACCACATGATTAAGTAGGTGTGCTTCGAATGACGCCTACAATGGAGGCTAGTTTTGACAAGGCGTCCGCCTTATTGTTCTCGGATCGAGGGACTTGTTGCAGCGTGAAATGTTCTAGTCCCTTGGCCTCTTCCTTAACCATCTGAAGATACTTCATCATTGTCGGCTCCCTAGCCTCGTAATCACCATTCACTTGGCTGTCTATCAGCTGGGAGTCGAAGATACATCAATCTTAGTTGCCCCTGTCGCCTTACGCATTCTAAGGCCAACCAGGAGGGCCTCATACTCAGCCTTGTTGTTAGAGGCTTAGAATTGAAATCTCAAAGAATACTCAAACTTATCCCCTTCCAGAGACAAACGGATAATACAAGCACCACAACCGGTCATTGTTGCACTTCCATCTACAAGTAATTTCCAGACCTGATCCCCTGCCGGCTATTCATCCGACTGTGTGATTTCTGCGAAGAAATCTGCAAAGGCTTGACCCTTGATTGCTTTCCTAGGTATGAATGAAATGTCAAACCTTCTCATTTCTAAAGCCCATTATAGCATTCGGCTGCTAGCTTCAAGTGTTGTGAATGGCTTCTTCAATTGTTGGTCCGTGTAGACTACAATTAAATGAGCAAGAAAGTATGCCGTTTCCAAGACATCTTTCAACTTTTTTCTATTCCTCGCACTCAAATAAATGCAGATATGCTCAAGCCTTATCACTCCAATCATTCACTTCCCACTCCTTTGTAACTGTACCCTAAAATCTTATACCCACCCATACTAATTGATCTACACTCTTATAAGTAAAAATTTCATAACATTCTATCTATCCTTGATTAATTGTCTTGTTAAGCTTGGATACACATAATATTAATACTTAAATAAAAAAAGGGCAATATGGGTTTTTATAGACAATGAATTAGGAGATAAAACAATTGACACATAATTAATACTTAAGTAAAAAAAAAGGGTAATGTGGGTTTTTATAGACAATGAATTAGGAGAAAAAACAATTGACAGTTTGATTGAGATAGAGAAAGAGTTAATGAGGCGCAAATCACATATACAGACAGAGAGAGAGGGGACCAACACCAAATGGTTTGAGTAAAATACGGATTTTATTTCAGGTCAGATGACAGTTTTTATGGACCCAAAAAAAAAAGGCAAATTATAACATTAAATAAGGAATTTTATCCTTATAATATATTGGTAGCAAATTCCAAACTTGTGCCCAATCTCATATTCTCATAATACCAAATTAGGTAAGATAATTATGTTAAAGATTAAGAATTAAGATATTATAAAGAGCAAATATTAATGATGGGAGGGGTAGTAGAATAAGTCAGGAAATATTTACTTAAAACCACCCTAGAGCGACAGTACAAACAACAAAAACAATAAATAAATGGCGTGCCCATCGGGTGCAGGTCATGTGTGCCTCTTTCATTGCACCTCGCCTATAGCCAAAAAAAAAAAAAAAAAAAAAAAAAAAATCTAAGCTCCCTAGTGCCCCGGCACGCCTAAGGCACAATTTTTTATACACTGGGTAGGAGCAGCGCAGTCCAAATGGTGACACAATGCACAAGGTGAGGAGCCTGCCTTCTACAGAGAAGTGCTAGAAAGGAGAAAATTGACTTGGATTCCAAGAAGATTAAATGTTACCTAGACTTTTATTAAACAACTAGCAGATCCCTTAAGTCCTCAATTTATTACATTATATGCTCCATTACAATGGTAAATAAAACTTTTCTATTTAGAGAAACCATTCACAGATAGGGTAGCAATTGTGGTTGATGACATGACGGACATAGCAGAGATTGCCAAGTGGTGGCCAGCACCAGTTCTTCTGATGGGCGTCGTTGATCAAGCATTTTAGGTTAGTAATATGTTCTCTCAATTTGGTCTTCGGCTTTATATTCTTTCTCCATCTTTGATCTCTCTCTCTCTCCCTCGTTTTCTCATTATTTATTATTTTTTCTTCTCCATTACAATCTGAAACTTTCCACTCCTTTTTCTTTCAATTTCAAACCAATCCATTCCAGTAAACATATCATTCCTGCCAACATTTCTCTATATCTCAGTGCATTTTAAGCTTAACTTATCTATTTTTTGAAATAGTTACCTAGTATCCCCTCCCTTTCCCTCCATCCGACTTTGGGAAAAATATAAAATGGAAACTTACTGTATTTAATCACGTTGCCCTATTCTATAAGTTGCCTCCAAATATACACAAGCAACATAACATACTTGCTTTAATTAAGCTTTATTTCACTTTAATCCTATGGAATCATAAAAATAGCTCACGTCCACCTTATCTTCATAGGACATCACTGGAGTAATGAGGATCCTTAAATTGTTTTATATAGGAAAATAGGAGAAAGGACTTTATATTGGATTTTAGATTATCAGATCAGCTTATTTGTTATCAGATAAGATACAAAAGACATTTGGATCAGTTCAAAACATATTATGTATAGACTTTAAGAATTAATAAGTAACATAAACATTCTCTTTTTTCTGTCTTTTATTGAACTAATAAATAGGTAAAATCAAGGAAGTATAGTAGATTAACTCCCTACACAAATTAAGGCTAAAACTCCTTTCTTCCTTATCTTATTCTACATGCCACGGAAGGGGAGAACAAAGAGAATACATTTTATTTAGGATGGATGGATGGATGCGACCTTCGCTTACGGGTCACTAGATTAACTCAAGACCTTTCAGTTGTGACCATGAGCTAGCTTAGGAATTCAATTTTTGGTTAACACGGGAAGGTAGGTCAACCAGACCACTCTTGTCACCTCTTGGTAAAAAAGTTTTGGCCAACTAATACAGAAAGACGTAAAGTCAGTCTATTTTGTGTCACATGAGCAGGTTGAACAAACTCCTTCTACTGGTTACAAGAGGAAACCTGAATCCCAAAATGCCTATACAGAAGAAGCTTTATTTACACCCTTTCAAAGGCTTGTTTGCCTATTCTAGATGACCTCGCGTCCTTGCCTATAACTAAAGATGAATCAAAGAGATGTAACAGCTTCATTTTTGGGAGTTTTGCGAATCCAGATTATTCCTTTAATATCCTCAATATAGCACAAGCTTCACTCAAATAGGAACTTGAACACCTTTAATCAGTTCAAAGAATATTACAAATTAGCAAGCATCTGAAAATTGTTGATAGCAACTCAAAGACTCCGATCAACATATCATTACCAGATGTAATATATTTTCGAAATCAATGGGTTAGCTGCTCGTACCCTACCAAGTATATCATTCTTAGATTATTAATTTCCTACCTCATACCTATTGCTAAACTCTCTAGGCTTTAAATTCTAACAAGCTTATAAAAACACTCATAGTCCTATAAGCAAAAAAGTCAGCGTCATATCAATATATCATGAATCAACAAATCTACAATCCAAATAAAAACAACAGGTACACAAGCAAACAAGAACAATCAGGAAAGTCTAAGCAATTGAAGGAAGTTACCCTTGGAAACAAAGCACGGCAAGAAGCACACCAAGTTCCATAGAATTCAACAACTACTAATCTATCTCCAGCTTCTTTTAGTGCACCCAAAAACTCCTCAGTGGAATGAACATCAATCATATTGGGTCCTGCATTCTTCTCCCACCATTTTGGTTGATCGATCGCTTCCGCAACAACAGCATGCACCTAGCATACACCACCACACACAACACAGAAGGCTCTAACTTAATTACCACAACCACATTTACTATTGCTTGATCGAGAAAATAAATACAGATAGTTACAACTTCGTCCGTCTCACTTTATACCACATTTTTATTTTAGGACGTTTCAAAATAACAGGCCACTTTATATACATACATAAAACTAAATTAATATATGAAAATTTTCATATTACTCTTCAAGTTTATAGGATTAACTCCATAATATCGTCATAGTATGATGATTACAATAGAAATGACCTCCAATCGAATTTGGAGTAGTAAATTAACTTATAAATATCCAAAATTCAATGAAATGCGAATTACCCCAGCAATATACATGAGAAACATGTATAATTGATCATATTATATCAAATAATTTTGAAAAAGATAAAGAGAATAATAAAATGATTACCTTGAATGAAGAAGGTCGCTTTCTGGGTTTGAAGGAAAGAGGAGCAACAGAAACAAAAGCAGAATCAACGACTTTACTACCAATTTCAAAGGAATTACGATTAACTGGGTGCCAATTATTGAATGAAGTGAGCAAAGACGCGGAAAATCGAAGGGAATTGCAAGAAGATAATCGAATAGCATCTGCCATTGAAGAAGAAAGAGAAAATTTGAAATTAATTTAAGAAATTGAATGGAAAACAATGGTGTGTGAATAAAATTAGCAGCATAATAATGAAGAAATTGGTGCAAATTTAGGGATGGAAAATGAACTCGGATTTTTTTTTCCCAAAAAATTCCTCGAGTTTTGAATAAGTGGCCTGAGCTGACTTACATAAAGGGCTTCTGGTCAGTGTAAATCATATCACATCTTTAAACCAATGAATTGTTGACGTAGTGGTGATTAAAATTACACTTGGTAAGGAGCACCGATATTCGATTCTCCAAAATAATAATTAAGAGGAGATTGGAACATAATCACCCAAAACTAATCCCGAATCCGGACAAACTCAAAGAGTGAATCGGGTGGAACACCAAAAAAATAATAATTTTGAGGAAATCATATATCCAAGGGCATATCCCCGAATCTGAATTAGTTTAAAGGGTATATGATGTGTCTATTTTATATAGTATTTTACCCCCGTCCCTTGGTCATAATTAGTATTGTTATTGGCTCTTTAGAGCCACTTTTATTACCAATTGGTACTTTCTAGTGTTTTTCGTAGATTTGGTTGACTTTTGCAGGGATTTACACTTTTGAAATATTTTCCCGAGATATTTTGGAGCAATCACGAGCATTGGAGAAGCACGACCAGAGTTTATAGCCCAGGGCCGGTTAGAGCCATCGAACCGGTGATTAAGGGCTCGGTATAGGTGATACCGGGGCATTTGGACCGAGTATTCAAGACCCAAAGAGGAAACCCAGATTGGCCCGAAGAATTGGGGCCCAATCGAAGTCCAAATAGTGGCCCAAATGAGTCGCCCGGCCAAAGAGGCTGGCGCCCGGAGGCGCGCCCGGCCGGGCGGGGGAAGCTTAGGCTGGCGCCCGGTGACGCGCCCGGCCGGGCGCGAGATTGGTATTAGGGAGCAAAAAGGCGCGCCCGATCGGGCAGTGCCTCGCCCGATCGAGCGCGTGTTTTATTAGTTGACGCTTAGCTTTGTTCTAATTTGTTTTAGTTTAGGACTTTTGTATGGAGTATAAATACTCTTCCGTAATACGATTTTAGAACTTCTTCTTCTCCTTTTTACTCTTTCTTTACTCTCTTAATTATTCTCTTAGAATTCTCTCTCTAAACTTTTGTTCTTAATTCTTCCATTAATTCCAGATTACTTTTTGGTAACAATTTCTTCCCCTTTATTTTCAGTTATTTTATTTACTCCCTTGATTGTGCTTTCATTTATTTATTTGATTAGTTTAGTCAAGATGATTTGTGAGTAGTTTAATTAATAGGGTTTATGGGGATCTAATAAACAATATGAAGGGGTAAATTGTTGTTGTTAATTATCAATGCTAGATTAATTTCTTATTGATTGATTTAATGCTCTGTGACTAGATTAGGCCTATCTTTTATGCATGAGTTTGACAATATTGATTCAAGATTCGAGAGATGAGAATTAATGTTTAGGTCTAGTTTCAATAGGCAGATTAATTTATAAATGGTTAATTCGAGATTCGAGAGATGAGATTTAATACCGGTAGATTAATTCTGTGATTGTAATACGTAGCGAAAGCCCTTTACAATCTGGTTAATTGATGCATTGATGATTGACTATTATTGATTATTGGTATTGCATGATAATTTCTTATTGAATTGTTTTAACGTTTTACAATTGCGGCTTGTAAAAGTATGGCAATATTGAATTGATGAATCGAGTAGATGTTAATTTGATATTAAAGGCTATTTTCAATAAGAACTTAAATCTAGTAAATTGCGAGAGCCTGTTAGATCTATGTTGATTAATAAATTGCGAGAGCCTATTAATCATGTTATTTATGCAATGTCAATGATTGATTACTATGTTTTACCCTGGAGTATTATTTATTGGTGAACCTATGCCCTAGATCCTTTTATATATTGTTTTCTCTCTATTCTTAATCTTAGTAGTTTAGTTTCTTGTTTGAATATTAATATTGGTTACTTAAATAATTTAGATTATAATAATTAATTAGGAATAAAAAGACTTGTTTCCCTGTGGAGATCGACCCTACTTCCCTATCTATTTTAGTTAGAGGACTTAGGAATTATTTTTGATTAGGGGATACGACTTTACCCTGTCAGTATAACAGAGGTGGTTGTAGTTATTAACCATACCTAACTAACCAACCCTTGCTCCTTAACCAGGTAATGTGAAATAAAACAAATTCACTTAATGTTTTACCTCAATGCTCAAAATAGGATAGGAATAGAAAAATAAAACGGATTTTTGAATACAGATAGATTATACTCCACTCATTCCTATTATGACGGAAAACAACATATGCATGATCCTAGTATACGATAATAAATGTAATATAAGCTTCATTGTTTATTATACTAAATATGGAGAGCAAAAAAACGAGAGGAAACCTAGGGCTTTCAAGCGAAGAAAATGACCAATTGCAAAGGTCGTAAGAGTAAAATAAAGAGACTATGAAACTGAAAAGAAAAAAAAAATATACATTTAATATTATATAACTAAACATTTTAGTTGTTATAGTAAATGTTCACTTTATCAAAGAAATTTTTTCAAAGAAATCAAAAATCAAGTAGAAAAAGAAGGAGAAATAGACTTAACGGGATAAAATACGAGGATAGAAGACGTAGATAGGGACAACATTGGAGTAGTTTGAAGCAGCAAAAACAATGTCGGGATGATCATCGTCTCATCAATTCGAAGGTCACCCTTAAACCAAACAACAACAGTTCCGCCATTGTTGTTGATTCGAAGGTCTTGTGCGTGTTTTCCGTCATTTTTTTATGGGGTGAGTCGGATATTATGCACCCAACATAAACTGTTTTGGGTAAAATCAACCAAGCCACGTGGTCCTATCAGAAGGTGACACGTGTCACCCTACGAAAGGTCCAAATGGATCAATCACTTATGACATGTGTCCCTCCATACAATTGGGAAAAAAGGCTGCATTCATGGCCCAAATCCCGAAAAGGTCGTAATACGGCGTAACCCACCAAACTTAGGTCAGAATGACCTAAGAAGGGGGCACATTTTCCAACGACCCTATAAATAGGGAGATTTCCACCATTTTCTAGGACAGGCTCATTTATTACATCAGATCTACATTCTCTCACATCAGCGAAAACACCTGATCTCAGAATCTGAGAAGATCTCACATTTACCTCTTGTGCACCTCGTCATACTCTTCGACCGATAGTAACTTGATCGTCGGAGGCGGAGCTCCAACCAACTAAAGTCTCCGTGTTTTGCAGATACAGATCGCGTGGGACCATTCATGGTGACGTAACTCTCACGAGGGACCAGAAAACACCCAAAACATTTGGCGCAGTCTTGGGGAGAGTACCTCTAAGATGGTTCAAGAGTCTATACTGCCACCTAAACCCAGTCGGCCTAGAGTCGATGGACAGGTGTATTCAGACTAAGAAACAGACAACGATTGTGAAGTCGAAACCCATGTGGCCCCTGATGGGTCACTCATCTCTAAGTGCATCCGTCCCAGGAATAATAAGTGGAATAGGGCAACAATGAAGCTGGTCCCAGTAAATCTATTGGACCACCGACTAGGGAAACTCAATCATCTAGAGGGACTGCTCCCGTTAATAGGGTTGAACTCATGAAGTTCATGACTAGTTTTAAGGGAGAAATCAAGGACCTCATCAACAAAAGGACGGCTGGCTCTACCAAGGGTACGTCGACCAAGAAGACTCCTCAAGCTGAGAGGAGAAAGCCATTTAGGGATAGGCAGCCTACTCCACATCCAAAGGAGAAGGCCACACCTGCAATTGACTGGTCTAAAATCCTTCTACCTCAGACGGGCACAAGGAAGGTCATTCGGACAGTTCAGCCAGATGGAAGCAAGAAGACTTTCTTTGATGCTCGACACATCATCGAGCATAATAGGAGCCAGCCGTTGTCTGAGTCAGCCTCTAAATCGAGCTTCCCAGACAACTTCAAAAACATCTCAGCAATTAATTCTCAATCCTTGCATGAGAGTCATACAGGCTGCAAGTCCGTCCACAGTGGCCCTGATATGATTATTGGGTCAGGCCTGTACATGTCTTAGATTCCAAACAGACAATATACCGCACCATTCATGCAGCTGGCCCTCTTTGGAGGTCAGGCGACATACAACGTCAAACCGTTGGATTAACAGCTTCGTTTGCTAAAACTTGGTGAATAAACCTTTATGTTCACCAAGGAAATAACAGAGGCGACACAACTGGCCAAGGTAAAGAATGTTTTTATTAGTGCCTATGATGGTACCACCAAACCCTGAAGATCACCTTATGGCCTACACCAACCTCATCACATGCAGGGGTTAAAGGACGCCATGTGGTGTAGATGCTTCCTTGCTATATTGAAGGGCATAGACCAACAATGGTTTGGCAACATGCTAGCCGGATGTATTGATAGCTTCAAGAGGCTTACCTTCTTGTTTGCTTCCAACTTCTCGATGAACATCCCTGCCAAGAAAACAAGTCTCGAATTGAACACCATTTGGTAAGGAGAAAGAGAAGGACTCCGCTTCTATGTCAAGCGGTTCAATCTGGTGAGAATCCAGATTCAAGGACTGCCTAACAAAGTTACCTATACAGACTTCTTTAAGGGTCTGAAAGACGGGTCAACCTTTAAGTTTGACCTTGTTAGGTAGAGGGTTTTCACCCTCCAAGAGACGTTGATAGAGGCGAGGGATTTATACAAGTAACCAACCTCTGCACGTATAGAAACCAGTCATACTCTATAAAGTTTTCAAAGGAGAGCCGATCTTCTCAGCTGGCTCCCAAAGCTGAACAGAGTAAAAAGAGAAAAGATATCTAAGCAGTTGACGATTCTGATTAGTTGTCCTAGAAGAAAAAGAAATAATTCAAACCGTACATTCCTAGGTACGAGTTTAATAAAGACTACTATTTCATCCTCATGGAGATAAAGGACCTGGTGACTATTGAGAAACCCACAGCCATGAAGGGTTCCGACAAAAATTGGAACAAAAATAAATACTGCCATTTTCATGAGGACATCGGCCATGACACAAATGACCGCTACAGCCTTAAGCGATTTCTGGACCGTCTAGCTAATCAGGGGGTGTTGAAGTCATACATCCTCAAGTCCAAGGTCACCCTAAAGACAAATCTAGGAAAGTCGTCCAAAAAGACTCACCA